AATTGGGTAAAAACTGCAGTACACGTTCTAGAATATTTCGACAAAAAATGTTGTTACCATGGCAACGATGACTTGCGTCTTCGCTTTACGATAACGCACCTTCATGCGAAATTTGAAGATGATCCGAGAAGAACTGCAGCCGGTAGAGCGCTCACAAGGAAATCTCTGCGGCGGCGGCGCGACGAGGCCAAATCCATAGTATCCCCCCAAACGAGTTCGGGGGATACAATAATAATATCCAGCATGGGTGTATAATATCATGAGATACCATGTCTTTTCAATGCTAAAAATTATTTTCAATCTAGCCTAATAACACATCTCATCCTGCTTCACCTATGCACTCCAGAATTAACATGTTAAGCCCTATTTACATTAAATCATGTCCACGCTTCACCAGGGGGGGGGGGGCGTAACAACATATCACAGCACCACTGACTCGGCCACCACATCTCCCTCCCAGTACCTCAACCGCACACACACACACACACGGCAACGAGGAGGCATCGACGGCAGAATCAAGAGCATTCATCGCGAATACGTACCGGGTGCTTCTACGCGGGTGTAGTGGTACGGGTTAACACAGACTTCGTCGCGCTTGAGGCTGAAGGCGTACTCGCAGCAGTCGAGTGCCTTTAGTTCATGGTGCGACTGCAGATCAGGCCAGCGCCACAGCCGGCAGTAAATGACGTGTGGTAGGCCCTTTCTGTGAGACACCTGCAGTCGACCATCTAACGATCTGCAATACAGCAAGCTCCGTTAGCGGAGTACGGCACAATTAGTTGTGTAAGGTGCATGAATTAGACTCGGCGACAGAATCTACTCGTCTCGTACACGCCTTGCAACAAAAATGTCAAGCATTTCCAAGCAACTCCGTGCAGCAATTCATGTCTTTCATGTTCAGGTTTTTTTATAGACAAATTGCTTTTCTATCAATCAGATGCTGCCAGATCCTTATACTGTGAAGTGAAACTGATTCAATCTTTAATAAAACTGCAAATATGTGATGTAGTTCAAGCTTTCCCCTACAACAATCCATTTTCTCCCTACAGCAAAATATCACACATTTTCAGAATACTTTACAGAAATGAAATTGGAATACAATTGGCTTGTTATTCCACACGTTTTCCATTCGTTTTTGTTGTTTCCATAACAATTACTAGCCAACTGATCCAGAAAACATGATTTTTAACAAATGTGAGAAAAATGCAATATCACGGCCTGCCTAAACTCCACTATAATATAGTAATAGATGTTATGACTATACACAGGTTCAGTTGAAGGCATGGTGAAACAAACCATGTGACAGACGATGCAACTGATAATTTCAGACTTCGAAAGGCAAGACACAACCCAGTAAATTAGTTTTGTGTTACAGCAAAGCCAGCAGGTTGTTTTGCTATGTAGCGATGTGGTTTCACATTAGCCATGTAACAGTGAAAGTTGCACTACCAACTCTTGATGAAGGACAAGCACTCCGTGATATTTTGGTGCCAACTCATCTATGGCACATAGTTGAAAGGGTGATTACACCGTACACAAAGGCAGAAGTAATAGCAAAAACTTCTTCGAGAAATTCCCACAAACATGAACCATATTTACCATCTTTACCAAAAATTGATCCTGTCTATTATTTGTAAGCATCTTTTTAACATTATTAGTTTATTACAGATATTTCAAGCTTGTTGTTAAATAATGATTGACTGCATGATGTTTCCCAAACTATTAATTGTAATTTTGCTTGTGCAATATTTGGATAAACTCATTGGGATGTTATCACAGTAAGTTTAAATGGTGGCAGTAATTATGAATGTGTTAGTGATGGGAATCGGCTGGAATTTCATAATCGATTATCGGTTTCCCTTAACCAATCGATAATCGGTTAATAATAGCATAGATTAAATTTAATCTTACTTTGTATATACAATTATACATAGCATTCAATATTATCATGTTTCTGATCGATTCTTATCTTATTCTTATCATGATCGATTCTCATCCAGCAGCAGCCTTGTGACATGAAATTATGAAGTTCCTGTTATCGTGAGTTTGCTCGTAGCTACGATGTGTTTCTGTCTACGCTACTCTCGTAGCATTAACATTAGTCGTAAGTGTTATCGTAGCATTAACATTAGTCGTAAGTGTTATCGTAGCATTAACATTAGTCGTAAGTGTTATCGTAGCATTAACATTAGCATTAACTTTACGATGTTTCTAACAACGGGCCCCTGCAGAACTTGTGCTCTACTTGTCATATCAATTCACACATCGTGAGTACAGTTCCTTGTTTGTTTGTTTTGGTATTTCCGATAATCGATTATTTGTTTTCATAATCGATTATCGAATTTGAGACTATAATCGATCGATTTTCGATTATAATCGATCATCGGGACATCACTAATATGTGTAGAAGAAATGTGCCTGTAAGTGTAATCCTAAAACTCTTAGTAACACCAAGAGTAGATAATAACACAAGAGTGAGACAACCGATTCCCGCATTTTTAACCGATTTTTCTCATCAAAATTTGCCACCAATAAAGAAGCAAGTGTATACGTTCCTCAGCTTATTATGACCACTAATCACTCACCTTCATGGTACTGATATTCGTTTACATATATTTGCTAGCGTATTGCTGTAAATCGTAATCTTGCACGAGCTGAATTCGCACGATTTACGGCTGTTGTTGTGACCTGTTTAGCCATTATTTAGAAGCTATCGGGGCGCTAATATTTAGCAACGGACGGTTTCCAAATCATTCGTGCCCCGATAGGGTTGAGAGACAATCTAAATTTCGAATTTTGATCTCGTGAAGAACCTGCGAGACGGCTCCACGCTTCTCTCGCTGATGCCCCGCCAACACACGAAATCTCGACCATACCTATCTTAGCATCAAGTTAATAATACAATTAATAACAAGATTCTGCTGTAGTAGTTTAGTAAGTATCAGCATCTACGCACACCCGGCGCAGCCGTAATCAAGCTAGCATTAAACGGCCCTATCGGGAGCAGTGATTTTGGAACCCGCTCGCGTTGCTAAATACTTGGCGCACCCCTCCCCCCCCGATAGCTTCTAATATGTCTAAACAGCTGCAAAAGTGGCCAATTTCTAGCGTAAATTTTATTCGAATTCAGCTCGTGCAAGATTATGCTTCTTACAGAATACGCTAGCATACTATGTAAGCGAATATCAGTAATGACAGGTGAAAGGTTGGCATCAATAACCTGAGGAAAGTATACACTTGCTTCTTTATTGGTGGCAAATTTTGATGAGAAAAATCGGTTAAAAATGCGGGATCGCTTCTTTATTGGTGGCAAATTTTGATGAGAAAAATCGGTTAAAAATGCGGGAATCGGTTGTCTCACTCTTGTGTTATTATCTACTCTTGGTAACACTTAGTTACACGTAGCTACGAATAAACTTACCTACTAGTCATGTATTGCAAAAAATTCTTACAAATTATGCATGACATGCGATATTTCATCTACCTAGCAGTAAAGCACGAAGGGTCGTTGCCGTATCAGGTACTACATATATGTACCCGATGTCGTTTTAAGTTGTTTAGTATTGTTTATATTTTTATATGAGCAGGGTTCTGCCCATGGTGGGCGGCGGTGGGCAAGTGTGCCCGGCACTCGCGGTTGCCGCCCGGCACTATAAACGAGTCGGTTATCTCCGCCCGGCACTAATTTTTGTCCAGATAAAAAAAAATAGCAGTGCAACAAATTTGTCAGTCAGATATATGGGCTTTTTATTGCTCAGAATGCAGGAAATCTAGTTTCAGACTATCCAAAATCAAAATTTTTTCGGGGGGGCATGCCCCCGAACCCCCCTAAATCGGCTTCACGCCTACGGCGCTTGCATCTTGCAACTGGATGCGCCCGGCACTAAAAAATCCTTGGCAGAACCCTGTATGAGGTACCGGTATGTTTAGGGCTAGGGTTAGGGTTAGGGTGCACTTCTGTAGTACAAGTCTGGTACACTTTGTGTATACATATATGTACCTGACCTCGGGTACATATATATGTAGTACCTGATACGACAACGACCCCTTCAGCAGCAGTGACATCTAGTGCACACACTTAGTAACATAGATCATGCAAAACTGACCAAATAGTATAAATGGAAGTAACCCCATTCTCGCCACTTTGGTTTTACTATCATCGTCAGTAAATAGCGCTAGCAGATCGAGTCGAGCGAATCCAAAAGTAAGTCAAACAGCTTTGGCGTGAAAATATTTAATTCCCCCACATGCCAGATATACATGTCTTGATGCAACTGCAATACAAGCCAAAATTGGAAATTTCGTGACGATCACTTGCACAGCAGATCAAACCAGGCACGTACGGCCTGCGTTAGCAGCCATGCAGGTCTGGATCTGGATCCGGATAGTTTACTGCGTAGACCACGGTTACGTGTTAGGTGGTACAGAGTATACAGCCTACAGGCTACAGGTACTGAGCTTCTTAAAAAGTTGCACTACCTGGGAATTGTTATGCACTTAGTATTTGGGTTTTGTGTGGTGATTGCCTTCTCTAGCTCGTCAAGTCCACCAGTTTTCTTCAACTTTTTCACTAAACTTTTCACTGCTTTTTCGCTCCACCTGTCTTCGCCTTCACCTTTATTCCAGCCCAAGAGTCGTTTCACAATCGGCGGCGTGAAAGGGCTCGTAACTGATGACAGCATAGACATATTCACATTGAATATAGTCCTTGGGAAGCCGTCTTCGAGTTGCACTTACTGACAACCCAAAGCACCGAACCTTTGAAGCACTAATGATAATTTTCCAGCAAAATATATATTTGGTGTCTATCCACAGTAACTTAAGGCAAATAACACCCTCAGATTTAAACCCAAACATCCGCAACCATCCCCAGAGAGAAATAGTACTAGTATCATTACCAAATATTACTGTTATTAAGAAAAATAACGGTTTTTATTTTAATTAATTACTTTCTATCGTCATATTTTAGTCTTCGTAAATAGATTACATGCAGAATTTCCATAAAACGATTTGACGGCTATTGTTACTGTATCAATTCGCAGGCGTACTATATTGCAACCCGGTTATTATTGACAGCACCGTAGGCGGGGATTCTTGCCAACTGGCCAATTGAATCGAAAAGATTTATCGCACTAGACACTACGTCTACACAGTCTGGTAGTGACGTCATCAGTAAATGTTATAAAAATACACGTGCTCCCTGTTTTGTACCGAGGTCATTGACCTGTCAACTGAGCGGTCAACGACCGACAACGGTTTTCACACACGAAAGCACACGACTCAAATCAATAGACTCTTAATTAAATATAATTCAGTAAAAGATGCATGTCCATATGTTCTTATCAATGCGAGTAAAATTAATCGCAAAAAAGAGCACAAAAATCTAGCCTACATATATATAGGCTATTGTAATATGTGTAATGTCAATTAAGTTATCATTAGCCTAATAATAAATTTCAACCAAATTCTGACATTTTCAGGCATGCTGGTGCGGGCACTCTGTAATCAGGGGCGGCGCCACGGTTTTCAAAGTGGGGGGGGGGCCAATTGAGAGAATGAAGCGACCATGCCGGGGGCTGAGTTATTGGGGCGCGAAGCGCCCGAGCGAGGCAGCCAGGCGACCGAGCGGCGGTGGGTGTGGGGGGGCTCCCCCCTCCCACGGCAGGGAGCTTTTTCAATTTTTGCACTGAAATGGAGCGATCTGGTGCACATCGAAGGTGAAAATTTCAAATTTTTAAATGGAAGAAAAACGGAAATAACACCTTTTCAGTACATGTACATGTACATGTACATGTACATGTACATGTCAACTATAGTGAAGTATATAATTTGCATCAATATGAATACATGTAATAGGAATAAAGAATATGAAATAGTGAATATTTTTCAGGGCGTACAGAAATTTCCATTTTCTTCAACCTGGTAATAAAAATAACATTGCTGAATGATATTTAAACACTTATAACATCACTCGACTAGCTTTTATCTTTAGTTTATCTTCATGTTGCTGACAACAGTTTTGCCTTTAAAAACCCAAGCTGCTAGGATATTACATAAAGAATACATCAACTATTTATTAATTAGAAAGACTTAAGAACTAAAGTGCAAACTAAACTAAAAGAATAAAAGGAACTATATAAAATATATACATAAAACTAACGCTCATAGGGTCTATGTCCCCCAGGTTACTGCCGGAACGTACCCTGGGTACGGTCCGGTATACCGGCTCTGCGTTATCAGCGTGCGTTAGGCTCTGCGTGCTGCGCGTACTTAAGCTGTGCGTACGCGTGCGTAGTGCAGTATAAGTACAGTGTGTGCATATGCAAGTACGGTACTGATATTCGACCCTCGATCGAGCCTCCGAAGCACAGGATCAGGCCCCGAAGTCCGCACGGTATTGGGGAAAATACGGCGCTGTGCATGTCTGTTTGCTATAGAGTAAGGCTAGACTCGCTAGAGGGACTTCGTCAAACTTTGTAATTTTCCAGTAGGCAGATGAAAATGTGGATAAACACATTCCCCTTTCTCTTTCCACTTTCCCCCTTCCTCTCCTCCTTGTTCCCTCTTTCTTTTCTTGCATTTCTTTCCGATCATACAAAATACATA